ATTTCGTTCAGCCTGAGATTCGTTTTGGTTTAATTTATTGATGGCGGGTGCATCCGAATCGGTTGTTGACGCGTCTCGTAAAGCATCTGTGATTGTCCGAGGTTGAGCTTGATCTTCCTTGAGTGGCTTTGATTTTATCTCCTGCTCAACTACTTGGCGTGCGGTACTCTCGAAGAGCACGGTCTGCGGCACTATGCCAAGATCTTTCAATGCAACGATGTTATTGTACCGTGATTGAGAGAAACCTCTACCATCTGTTCGGCGACGATGAACCACTCTCCAGATGAATTCTCGGAGAGCAACGAGCTTGAAGTCATCTTCCTGATTCATGCCAGCATTCCGTAGCTTCCGCAGCCACTGATCATCTTCATCGTTCCTCGGGATCCGTTGTAAGACTTTCGGGTCTAATTCTCTCCCTGATATTGAGAGAATGGCATCATCCATTGAGCCAAATGTGAAGGTTTGCTGTTGCCTCGACTGGACCCAGAATAAACCCTTCTCTGCTTGGATAGCCCAGTTTGAAGCCATATCCAGAATGAGCCTTGGCAACGGCTTTTTTAGAGAGTCAAGAATTCGGAGCTCAGAGAACTCCGAAGGGATGACTTTGAGGTACGGTTTGATGAGATTTATGAGAATGCTGTGTGTATCGGCTACCGTGAGATACTTGGACGCAGTGGAGATAAACTGCGCAGCAGCTTCTCTGATCCAAATATTTGGATGCATAGTTAGACGGGCGACAATATCTACTAGTTCCCACGTCTTTGATCTCTGAAATAGACCGAGCTCGGCTATCGCTGAGAACGCCCTTATAACCTTCTCTACGACAAATTCTTCAGGATCAGTCAAGGCCTGAACCATTAAAGGAAGTATATAACCTTCCAGACTTGCACTACCGACGAATACTGCAACGCCGACAATCGCGTCGAAGAAAGCACACTTGAGCATCCAATCACGGTCGTTCAGATACGTATTTAAATGGCTAAGTACGACATCATTGGCCCTAGGACTGCCAAAGAAAACGCAGAGATCAGCCACTGATTTGAGCATTGCTCGACGAACAGATGCTTCAGGGTCTGTAAGTAGAGTCTTAACGTGACGCTCGAACTTCTCTAGCAGATTTTGTCGATCCGAATCAAACTGATTTCTGTGTGCTGACGAGGTTAAGGAGTCGTCTTCTGCCTCGGGGTCATTTGTTGAGAATGTTCCGTCGATGCGGAGGGCCTGGATCATGTCTAAATATCTTGCAGCCGTCGTAGCTAGGGTGCCAATGCACCATGCGTAGTGTGTCCGAACGAGCGGACTCGCTGGAACTGGTGAGTCAAGGAAACAGTTCTCTAGCTGGCGTAGGATGTATTCGGGGAAGATTATTGCATTGATGGGTGAAACGACTTGGACCATCGCTAAGATTTGCGTCATTGTTCTTAACGCAGCGATTTGAACAAGCTCCGACTTGTCTTTCAACATGTACGAAACATACGGAACAACGCGGTCTAGTTTCGCCTCGTCGGTAAGTCGTTCCGAGAAAGCCAATAGAAGTTCAAAGCCTCTGAGGCGAGCAGAGGCCCTTGCTGTTCCCCGAAGGCACGATACAACAATGGTGAGAAATATTAGATTTCCATCATCCATAGAGAGGCTTGGCGTTGGAGAAGCTCGGTGTTGATAGTTCGGAATATCAACGTACAATGGGAAAATCTTACTTCCCGGTTTCGGGGGTACGTGCTGCATGTTTGAAAGTTCATTTGCATCATTTCCGGAAAGGAGGACCGAAATCTTGTCGAAGTCATGATATATTTGCTCTATCCGCTCATCTGGCTCGCCAAGGTGTTCAGAGACTGTGGTTACAGGCTTTCGGCCCGAAGACGGGTCTGTGATAGAATGCATATACTGCTGAAGGAACCCATAGAAGTACCGAGGGAAGGCTTTGCCCTGCCAATATTTCAAGTAATCCTCGGCTGATAGCCTCGAATTAGGGTCTAACTGAATCATGTGAGTAACAAGATCCCGGATATTAGCATCTTGAACCTTGCTCAGATGGGAATGAACCGGATCATACTCATTCTGTCGGTACTTGAAGAGTTGACTCAAAGAGAAGATTGGAGCTTCCAGGAAGAGCTCAGCGATTACGCAACCCACACTAAAGATGTCCATGGCCCAGGTTACCACTTGTTCGCCCTCCGGCTGGACCCCGGGAGGAAGAAATCGCTCAGGAGCTAGGTAGCATGTTCGACGTCCAGACATGTCGAAATAGAATGAGAAGTCAGCAGGATTGTCTTCGGGCAAATACGCCGGCTTGAACGAAGACGAGAAGTCGGTCAAGTATAACCAGTTCCACGAAGTGACAAGGACGTTTTCGGTTTTGATATCCCCATGGTATATGCCACGGGAGTGGCAATCCCGAACTGCACATAAGAGCTGAAATGACAGCCATTTCTTCTCGATCTCCTCAAGAAATGGACGTGTACTATTCGAGGTTAGCGTTATATAAATGGCTTTGCACAAAAGTCTACCTTAGCCTATCATATAATGAGCTGTGAATATACTGCCGTACAAGATAACCACCCGTGCCTGTCTCAAGTATGCGATGATAGCCGAGCGCATTCGGGACATCAACAAGTAACTTCCTCTCTTCTATAGGCATGGTCAACACAAAATGCTTCCAAAATATCCATGAGGGAACAAACCTATTAGTCGTTTCACATATTCTTCGAAATTAAGGTCCGCATACGGTTTCATCACCACCTTTGCGACCACCAAACCATCTTTATGCCGTGCTCTTACGGCCTTCATGAACCGTGCGGTTCCTAGAGGCCTCTCATATTGGAGATCAGATAGCTCGCTAATACCAGCAGAACCGGCCGAAAGAGTTGTTAAGGAGAACGCTTGACCCATGATTCCGATTGATAGTCAGATCTTAGGGAATATGGGTGGATAATTGTTGCCTCGCAGCCCGCATCTTGTGGCCAGATATTGAAAGCGTCAGGCCTTTTGATCTCGTATGCATGCGCTCACAGTAAAGCTACATGTATGTTCCTCGATGGTCAAGTCAATGTTTGTGTGATAGAGGTGTTGTCAAGCTTGAGATCATGTGGTAAACTTCGAGGTCATCTTCACTAAGATCAAAGGGTGCCTCCGTGGACTAAACCAAAAAAAGTAAGGTCCGTTTCGAGCTGTGAGCCCACCCAAGTGAGCCGGGTGGGCTTTCAAATATCTCACCACGTATCCAAGTTTGCATAATTCCAACAGTCATGACCAGTAAACAGCGGATCGTGTTCTTGCACCCCGATCTAGGCATTGGCGGCGCTGAACGTCTCATTCTAGACGCTGCAGTTGGCCTACAAAACCGCGGTCACGAAGTCACCGTCTTTACATCTCACTGCGACCCAAGGCATTGCTTCGATGAAGCCCGCGATGGTAAGCGCTATACCCTGCTGCACGACCTCTCGCCGCTCATGACAGAGGAAGGTCGCTGAAACTTCGCTTTGTAATGCAAAGGAACACTCGATGTCCGAGTACGCGGAAATTCCATCGTTCCCCCCACCATCCTCGGCCAATTCGCAATTCTCTGCGCCATCCTTCGCCAACTACATTTGATTCTACAGATCGCACTGTTCAGTAACGAGCTGAATAAACTTCGCCCTCAAGCTTTTTTTGTGGACCAGCTCAGCGCGGGTATACCCCTCCTACGGCTTCTGCATTCGGAAGCGCGAGTCATATTCTACTGCCATTTCCCGGATAAACTGCTAGCGAAGAAGGGTGGTGTATTGAAGAAACTGTATCGCAGTCCCTTTAACTGGATTGAGAGCTGGAGTACGGGTTGTGCCGACACTATTGTGGTAAATAGCAGGTTTACGAAAAGCGTGTTCGCAGAGGCTTTTCCGAGCCTGCGGTTCCGGGAGCCTGAGGTGGTATATCCATGTGTCGACACGAGCTCTAAGGATGCTCTCGATGAAGTAAAGCTACTATGGGAGAATAAGAAGGTTCTGCTTAGCATCAATCGCTTTGAGAAGAAGAAGGATGTCGCGCTCGCGATCAAAGCATATGCGGGGCTGACCATGAAGGAGCGGGAAAATGCTAGGCTGGTAATAGCTGGTGTGTAGATTACCAATGCCGGCGTATAGCTGGGTACTGATGTCTAATAGGCGGATATGACCCTCGAGTACCCGAGAACCTATCTACCTACACTGAATTGTGCGAGCTAGCAGACTCGCTCAAGCTAAAACACGCAACCGCGAAGACTGTCATCACGGCTCAGAGCGTGCCTGACGATATATCTGTCCTCTTCCTCCATTCCGTTCCGAACACATTCAAGCATACCCTCCTCTCCACTTCGCGTCTATTAGTATATACCCCGCGCAATGAACACTTCGGCATCGTGCCCCTCGAGGCCATGTTAGCAGGCACGCCGGTCCTCGCGGCCAACGAAGGTGGACCAACAGAAACTGTTATAAGTGGTCAGACCGGCTGGCTACGAGATGTGAAGAAAGTGCAGGACTGGACAGAAGTCATGCGAATAGCCCTCGAGGATGGCGATGGCGAAGAACGGCTTAAGGAAATGGGTAAGTGGGGTAAGGAAAGGGTCACGTCAGAATTCTCAAAGGAAAAGATGGCTGAGAGACTGGAGAATGAGATCCAGATAATGCGACGAAGGGTCGCGCGACCAGGTATCGTGCCTGATATATTCGTGGTGCTCTTTGTAGTTGGCTGGATTGGTGCACTGATCGCGCTGCGCGTTTGGGCTGGAAGCAAGCAAAATTCTATGCGGAGGGGCCCAGAGGTCGTCTATCCTTTAGATCAACATTAGAATAGCTATCAGGAATGTCCAAAGAGTTACAAATCCTCCATTATATATATATATATTAGCCGATTATTCTAATAGAGGCTTGTTCGACCATTTCGGCGAAGCAAAATGAATAAAGCAAAAAATATCTTCTTGCACATGGAGAGGAGTGATTTCTTCTCCCAAGACTTCGACAAGTAGGCTACAAAAACATGAAGGAAGAAGGTCGTGCCCGGGATCGAACCGGGGTCGCGGGAAAACCTTTTGATATCTAATCAAAATCCCGAGTGCTAACCACTACACTACACAACCTATGCGAATGAGATAACGTTTTTGTAAAAAATTTTCATTCTATAGTAAAGAAAGTTTGCATGATATATCTAAAACGGGAATTCAGAGAGATCTCAGAGCAACTCGGTTATGCGTCCAATCACTCGCAGACATTTGCGAAAACTGAGACTAGTGCATTGTTCGTTTCAGCTTCAAGGTTTGTTAGATTGTGAAAACCCCCCGATGTTGGACTCATTGCCTTTAATGCTAGATGAATGGCTCTGCCGCGCAGCAGATGAATAAACACACTGAGTAAACTTTAGAAAGCCAAAGGGGGACTATTTTCCTTAAGAAGTGTCTATTGCGGACGAAGATTGGTTTGCAAGGGTCATTGTGGGGACCAATTGGAGTACGTTGTAGATCTATAATATTTTCGAAAGAGAAGATGGTCTACGTTCTTCGCATGCTAATTTGCATCAAGGGAGCATTTATTTGTATATGAAATCGTCGTTTAAATCTACTAAAGCAGTGTTAGGAGCCAGTTAGATGCTTTTTGGGTTCATGTCTTAATTCGGGCGTGCCATCACAAAGTGAGTTGGGTAGACATGTGAAAATTTGTGAAGTAAATGGCAGCGTAGGTTACAGAAGAAGGCTTTGTTTAATAAAGCAATATTAAACTACATAGACATAAGTTTGACATTTAAAGCCCTCATCCAAACTAAGAATCCGCAACATACGACCCGACTAGTCGAGCATAACTGACTTACTATCTTTTGATGAGGCGAAAATGGTTACTCAATGACTTTAGGCATAACTGCGTCGCCAGTAATCTCTCGTATACTCTGCAATTCTTCAGTCTCGTCGATGCTAGAACGCAGAGGTACGTGTCTTGGCGTTCAACCCCGGTTTTGTCGCCCCATCTAAATCAGTGGCTTTCCTTAAACTCAGAATTACAATGTTCTCCCCGCTATTACCTAAATTTCATCACGATGGTGTTGTTCGCAGACACCGCTGAGAGGCGGACAGGAAGGGTCGAAAATGAATTTTGTGTCGAAATGATCGCTAAACATGCCGTCATAAGGACCATTAGTGTAAAACCTTGGCTATAAACAGCTCTCTAAAAGTTTTTTGAGAATCATTTGTTTAGGGATCCGACTAACATTAGCCAGATTTCACACCTAATTGCATACCACACCACCATAGATGAAATCATGCCATTGCCGCTCAGTGACATAACTGCTCCTAGCAGAAATAGCGACAACACTAGTGGTAAGCCAAGAGAAGGATGTTACCTGAAACGGATCCACACCAGCAATTCGTGTTCCAACTATGAACGGGATCGCGAGTGCTCCTGCAACAATAATAAAGCATATAGCCATAATGGTCCAGACATAAGCTCTGCATCAAACAACAACGGCATTACTGTAGAAGACCCATGATTACATCTCTTTGCCATATTTGACATATTTATCGAATAATTTCTTGCTTAGGGAAATTTCATCTCCTCGGAGAAGCGTTTTGGACAGCCGGCCCAGGTCGCGAACAAGACTAATTCCGGCTGTTCACTGTGAATGTGGTCACATTAGGAGGATTGTGTACCTTACCTCGAATTTTTGTATGCAGAGGACTTTGCGAAAGCGGTATGTAATCAGTTAGTTTCTAAAATTGCAAAGTATCAGCTTCTTTTACCTCTTTTCAAAGAGGGGACTGCTTTGATAGCCACGAACTTGTGGCCAGAGGACATCTTGGTTGAAAGTGATTGGCTTTGAGGAATTTTGGCAGTCCGCAGCCTGCCATGTTGGCAAACGTAGTGCTTATCTTCATCAGCATTTCAATCTGCACAGAATTGTGTAGACAGACAGTTAGAGTACCACCATCATAGAGACTATGTCTGCAATAGTAATCGTTTTCAAGCTTTTCTCGCTATAATTCGTCATCTTTTGATCAAGCCGATTAGGTCCTTTATAGTAAAATGAAAACAAGCTGCCTAAAATGCGTCTTCACCCGTGGTTCCGAATACAGTAGGTATCTGTGGGATTTTCATCTCCACCGAACTCGACATGTACCCCGCTTAGATTACTGTTCCTAGTCCCCGCCACGAGAACTTTACATTTATATTCTTTCTTGTAGGCGTATAAGCGACATTATGGGTTGGATCAAAAGGTTAGCCTCTTGCTCTACGTTACAGTTATGAACCCTCATCGCCCAAGCCATATCTACTAAAACCTTCGTACCTCAAGAGATTTGTGAATGTAAGGAGACGAGCCATAATTTCATTGATATTAGCAGCTTTTACATATCTTCCTACGATAATGACTATTAAGTTATTGCCTTGTTTTAAGCTAGTCGTCCCGAGATAGGTCTGCCTTCTTCCTAGATTTGCTAGTAACGCTCTCGTTCCAGGGCTTACCACTCGCGCCGCTTCAAGTCTTCGCAATTCCGAGGTGAACCGGGGCAGGGCTTGGCCAAAAATCTTCGCCGGCCTTTCACTTCGAACCTTGTAGAGAGTTCCGTCCTATAGGATATGTAATCACAAACATATACGCGTGAGATTATGACTGGTCGATTCTGTCGCACAACCTAGATCGTTGACCCAGGAAACTCATGCACAGTTCACTCATATGCTAGCCTTTGATGCTGATCTACATGCATATAACAGGGCTACTTCATGTTCGAGAAACATAAGCGCTCAATAGAAGGGCGCCTGCACTGAGATTGTGATAGACAGCGTAGCCAAATCCTAGCTAGTATCACAGAATAGAAAAGAGACTCCGAAACGTTTCGGAAGAAGTCAGCAGCTAGGTGCGACCGAGAATTCAGAAAAGCTCATGCCTGGTTCTCCTCAATAACACTACTTTCAATCTGCTGCAATATCTCGGAAAATGCTGAATAACTGACCATACAGAAATCTAAGCTCCAACACTATGTCAATCTCTCAATATGATGAGGCTATCAGCACGCCCAAGATGATGAAAGAAAATACCTCGTCTAGTACTACAGAGTGCAAAGCAGAGATAGCAGGCATCATAGAAATTGAAGATCCTTGGGGTGTTGTAAAAAAGACATTGCGAACGGCCGATAAACGTCAATCGAATTCTGATGGCCAGTATAACAATTCAACGATGGTTCCGCACCGTCGACTTAACGCTGAGAGACCAAAACATATCAGCCTGGACATAAAATCGCCTCTGACACGCAAAGCACTTCAAAGGTGGAGGATATAAATATTATAACCCCGTTATTTGCCTATCATTATGGTATATGACTTTATGCTAAGCCCTGTCCCTCCAGCGCAGGGCAGTTTATGAATTCCGATCTGTCAGCAGCGAGAGGAATGTGGAACCAGAGTCTAGACTTATGAAACCGCATTGCCACCCAAAAGTCCCTGTGGAATATTATTCCACCCATCCCATATTAATTGGAGCTTCTATGTACGGGAAAGTAGAGTAGTATTCCTAAGTTATCGCAAATTAACGGCCATAAACGATTAGTGATTCTGTGATGGGGATTTTGGCAAGTCTGCCGAGCTGTATCGGATATCGTCGTACGATATCACGCTTGATATCAGCTGATATGCCCCTTTATCTATGTACATAAATATGGCCTGCTAGCCATCTTAACTAAGTAGTTCAGTTCCTCATATCCCTTCCTGAGATAAGATTCGCCTCTTACCACAGATTCAAATTCAGACAAGAAGAGATAAATTTGTGCTCGAAAGATAGAGAATTGCCAGGAAAAACTTATATAGTTCTATAAATCGGCGAGGTAGGCGCATAACAATAGTCGATAGTAAGAATAGTCTTGAAATATCTGGAATGTCTTTGCCACTTGCTTAACGAGCGTGATAGCAATGCCAAACTGAACTCTCATGAATTCGCGTACGGATCGCTGCACACATACCCGAGGAGTAAGTGAATAATACGAGTCGACTATGTTTAACCTGATACAAGGAACGAAAAGGTTACCATTTGGCCTGGTTAGAGTATCATATGTTGACCTGTCGAGGGTTCTCCAAAAAGCGAAGAGGTCAAGGTAAAATGAACGAAGCCGATGGATATAGCTGGGAAGCCAATGGAAGGTAATTATCTCGGGCAGCCGTGCGAAATGAGTAGCCACATCTGCTTGCGCTTGTACAAGGTTCCACTCTTGAGAATCATCGCGGAGATATTCCTTCCAGTCATTCTATCAATAGTAGATATACCGTATAGAATACAATCTCGCTAGGATAGTAGTGTAGGTTCTACGGTTAATTTTGTTGCTAGGGTTAAGGGGGGGTTACACCGCCATATGCGCCTCAGCGAAAGGTAGAGACAGATACCAATTTGTATGCTGAAAAATCAACTGTATTTCAGCGTCAAGCAGGCCGCAGTTCTAAGAGTTTCTCAAGAATTCTATGCCTTTGAAAGGTATTGAGGTTTTCAAGAACCAAGTACACGTCTTGACTGCCCATAGTTTCTATCACTCCGCCAGAGAGGATTGCGCCATCCCATTGAAAGTCTCTCAATATCACCTTTTCGTGAATAACCTTCGGATAGGTATTCAAAGCTTGCTGTGGTTAGGCCGCCGGGCTTGGCGTCCTGCTTGAAGGTTGTGCTCTAGGTAGCGTTGATACTGCTAAAATGGGCGATGCTGTGGCAATGATGCTAACAATACCGGCGAACAAACATGCCACGGACTGAGCGAATCTTCTAAGTAACTGTCTTTGAATGGATATTCCCTTGCATAACGACTTGGAAAGAGAAGGAAACCGTAAAGATTAAGTCAGATAGTGAAGTATGGCTCCTTGTTTGATTCCGTGAATACAAGTATGAATAGCATGGGACGCTGCTTATGTAAGCAGTCCTTAGCACAAGAACGACCTTGAAATTCCATCAGCTTCACCAGAACAGAGCTCCAACTCCTTCAGCTCACCTTACCCCACTCCTACTCTATATTCTGGCCCACACGCTACACCCGGAAGCTTGTCCGTGTACTTCAAGCCGCAATCATGAGGTTAACTACCGATCTGATTAACAATTCTGCCTCCTTCATAAACTGTGTAG